CCAAAAAAAAAACGAAAAAAAAAAAAAAAAACAACCGAGAAACGAAAAAAAGAAAAAAAAAAGAGAACAGATATATCTATTCAGATTCCGTTTTTGAGAGTGAAAAACTTTGATCGATATCATGTTTAATTTTGTCGATGAACGTTCCAATCGATGAACACACGTTTATTCGATCGTTTACAAGCCTCAGTTTTTCGTAACCGCAAACAAATCGAACGTTTCTTTTTATTTTTTTTTTCTCCCCCTCCTTCTCTCTCTTTCTCTCTTTCTTCCATCTATCTTTGCACGAAACGCCTCTGAACGCCTATTTATCAACGCCATCGATCGCTTGCTTATACGTCACGTCAAGTTTCTTAAAGCTTTTCTACCGACTGGTTTCGAACTTCCAGACTTTCTTTGCCTATTGAGAGGCACGTATTCAACCCGAGGTATCTTTCATTCCTACTCTTTTATCCGGTTGAAGTGTATACATGGATAGAGTATATTCTAAATAGATATGAAGCGATCAGAGGGAATCGGGAGAGATAATTCGATGGAATAAAATTGATTGATTTTCGGATCGAAACGCGTTTGGAAGAAATAGAAAGAAATTTCATGTAAAATCATCAGAAGTCGTATTATAAATTTATTCGATTATAATCAAACAAAGATAATCAGAACGACAAACATTTCTTCGTCCAAAATAATTGTCAATCGATTTGATAAATCAATGATAATAATAATAAAATAATTTTTCGAAGATAAAATGGATACTGAATAAATTTTTGATAAGGATAATGAATATCTTTCGCAAATATCTCTTTATTTCTGGCACATACACAACGATTCGATGTAATAAAACTGATAGATCTTTTCCAAACGTTCGTGCGATACAATTATTCAAATTGGGAATGATGTAACACCTTCCAAGCCATGAAAATGAGTATCTGAAATATTCCTCTGGTCGCAATGTTAGGTTAGCACACTCAATTAACCTACGTGTAACACGGAACACGTCGGTGGAACGACGGCGTTTAGTATGGATGACGTTAAATTGCATCATTCTCATGATGACCTTACTGCGAACGATCAACCATTACGGACTGTTATGGACGATTATAATAAAATTATAATCAATCTCTTATGGTTACAACAATGTAATTAATCGAAGGCTGTTATTTTTTTTTTAAATTATGCGATACGAAAATAATTGATTGTGAAATATTATCTGATAATATTCTCATTATGCGATCCTTCAATTTTTTCCTCCTTAAAAATAATTCTTCCCGGTATCACATTGCATTAATTTTTACTGCTTTTCTAAAGCAGTATTTAATATTCCGATATTGGATTTAAAGAAAGTTTATAAAACACGTAATATACATTTTTGACATTTAATTAATAGGCGAATATATATATTTTTCTATACGATGTACAAAATAAAATTTCTTTCATTCAGAAGATCTGTTTGAAAATTAATGAAAATTTTAAACATAAATGTATAACAAACATAATATATTCTTGCCGAAATTATTACGAAAATCAGGTCATATATGTATAAATAAATCGTTTCTCATCACTCGATAATATTCAATAACAATTCGACAACGAGAATACATAACAAGAACAGATTTCCAGATCGACTTGACTCATCGCATTAATCGAAGTTCTACCATACAGAAAATACATGTTCTCTTCGTATCTACGTATTTTAATTTCTTTTCCTCAATATACATGCGCGAAATACATTTTCAACGATCTAAGAAACCAAAACTATGGAACAAGCATAATAATCCCCTCCCTCTTCTTTACATCATTCAGATCTTTCGTCTTTGGTCTGGAATCGGACAATGTGTCTACACGACAATTGGCCACGACGACATTTTCGTGTAACCAACGAAATATGTGCAGTGTTCGACGGCGAACATCTTACTAAGCAACACCCAACACCCACCAGTCACTCACCTGCCGTACCTGGCCGCTACCAGCCTAGAAATTGCTTTCTGTATTCTCAGGGGAAATCGTTGGAGCACGAACCGGCACCAGTTCACGTAAGATAACACTTCGGGGTCAAAGTAAGATACTTGGCTTGTCGGAGATTCCTATCCAAGGTTGCAAAATTCTCCGTAGGGAGCAAAAAGTCGAGCGGTTTTCATCCAGTTTCTTTGTTCTACACGGTCGTTCAAGCGAGCGGTTTTTAATTAATTCGAAACCTTCGCGATGTTGGATTTGATGAATTTTTGGAATGATGATTTTTAAAATTAACGTGTGGATGTTAGTTTCTGTAGATGATCTTTGATATCGAGAGAGGATGGATTTTTTTTTTTCGATAGAAAGAGAAGATTTTACGAGTGACTATTTTTGAAAATTTTTTTTCATCGAAGCAGCAGTAAGAAGTAAAATAGATTTCTTAGCGAAATATTGGATTATATTATAATTTAAATTCATAAAAGTAAATGTTATGAATTATATATCTATTATATATTATATATTCTTTGATAATAATAAATTCTCTGTAATAATAATTTTATTAAAATATAAAAAATTTCTCCTTCTGACATAATCGAGCCTCATCAAATTTTAATCAATCCGTCAGATTGAAATTCATTAAAAACAAAAAACATTGAAAATGATTCATCTACCATTTCTTATAATTTTCCATTCTTAATTTCATTCAATTCGACTATAATTCCATCTATAATCCAAGCTATAATTCCAAAACTTAACTTGAAGAAACCAACTTCCAATAATATTTCTATTTTATTATAAAAAAAAAAACCATTAACTGTGCTATATTATTGCAAGAAATTTAATATTCCCAATTCCAGAATTAATTTCGTAGCCCCGATTCCTTAAAATTTACTTCGCGTTAATATCACGATGGCGAGATAGGATAGACATCTCTGGTTTACGATTTTGCAACATGTGTTCCCAAGGAAAATACGTGACATCTTTTTGAAAAATCTCACGCAGAATACCGCGCACGGAAAGTATTATTCACACAGAGCTTTCTTGCATCGAGGAGAATCTTTTACCAACGCGCGACGCTGTAAGAATACCACGGGTACAAGTAGAGGGTGCAATAGGGGTTGCAGGATCTCAATATCTCTTTCTCGAAACTTTTCTCGCGACTAGAATATTCTTCAGGCCACGTTGTTTCCGCGTTTGCTTGTGTTAGTGTTGCGTGTTTTATAGATGGAGCTTAAAATATTATGAATATTTTATTCTCCTCTATGGCGTGCTTCAAGATCGATCAAATTTTAATCTCGTTACTTGTTTGGATGTTTTTGACAAGTGAAAATTGCTTCTTTTCTTTATCTTTATCGTTTCTTTGATTGGGGAAATTTAATTTTCTATAATAAGATAGATCATATTAAATATAATGGAATTTTTATAATTTTGAGAGAAAGATTATTCGATGTAATAAAAAGTTTCTCGAAAATATATTTAATTGAAAGGAGTTAATAAGTTACTTATAGATTTCCAGGATTTCATGTTTCCAAGAATAGAATTTAAGATAAAAACAGAATCAATTTTATTATATATAACTTTCTTTGTATAATTTATGTTTCAAGAGAATTTTTTATATATTTTGTTTATAATTAATAAGAGAGATTAAAAGTTGAATATAGATAAATTTAAAGATAAATTTTTTAGAGAAAAGATTCTTTGATTATTAAAATATTATTTATTGAGAAAGTATATGTATTAACTATATATTTGATAATCCTATTAATTAACGAAAAAAAAAACAAGATATTTTAGATAAAATAGGAAATTCATTTTCAAAAGCATTTAGAAACATGCAATTTTTAATTATTTTTTTCAAATAAACAAAAAATCTCGTATTATATTATACAAGGAAACATTTTTAGTTTCAAGAGTATCCTGTCTAATGTAAATTTTAGATACTTTTATTTTTTATTCATAAATATACACTGAAACAAGATGAATTTGTACGCGAAGAGAATTATACAGGGAAGTTTGTAGGATTCTATTAAAATTCATGTAATTAAATGCAGTAAATTTAAGAATTATCTACCGTATATGACGCAGCCGAAATTATGCACAGTTCAACTTTCGTAAGCATAATTCATCGTGGACGACCATGATAAATTCTCCTCCATAGTTCTTATTTTTACCATGTTGCTATTAACCGAAACGTGCAATAGTTATATTATTACTGCAATAAATCTACACACTGTCTACATCTGCGTGAAATTATTCGAATTTACGAAAAAAAAATAAATAAAATCGATAACATTGTGTGACAGATGTATTACAATTCATTTCCTATATTTCACTTATTTAAAATTCATCGAAAATGTTATCAAGCAATATTTAACGTTTCTTTGTATATGTATACATAGATTGATTTTAAATTTATATTAATGTGATCGTTTATTTTAATCTTGAGTTTATTTCTTTCCATATTTTAAAAATTGTATATACGTATATTAAACGAAATACAATTTTTAATAAAATTTTAGAAGATTTTAAAAGATTTATACTTATAATTCATAACTAAGCGAAAAATAATTTTCAATTTAATAAAATAAATACAATTTTAGGAAAAATTTCTAATAATTTCCAAAGAAATATCGAATTAAAAATATTTAATAAATTCTAAAATTCTATAGAAATAAAATATTTCTAATTATTCGCAATTTAAAATTCATTTCGTCTCATCAATAAAAAAAAAAAGAGGAAGGAAAAGAGGAAATTATCATGTAATATATTAATATTAAATCCATGAACTCTATTATTTCTCAAGATTTATTTTTACCACGTATCCAAACGGTTGATTCGCGAAAAAATCATACATTTCATTCAGTTTGTTTCTTTCTCGTTCCACTCTTGCCGATGGCACACTTCCAAATGTTACGCCACGAAACGAGCGGCCTGATCTCGGCTGCTAATTGTTGAAACGTCGGAAAGAGCTTTGTTCGTTTCCAAGTACGTTAAAAGCACGGAAAAGTACGGAAAATCGTGCCACTTCCGCTGCCGACTATGATTGCAGGTATCGTGATAATAATTTCATTGGATCGTTATCGTTCCAGAGAATTCCATCCCTTTGAATTGCTAGATATATATATGTTTGTTTGTACAAGAAAATAATGTTTTTCTTGATTCGTATTTCGTTTTCTTTTTTTTTTTACATTTTGTACATGATTTTAATCATTTGATATATTCATAAAAATATAAAATCGTAGAAGCATCCATCCAGTTGTACTAATCAAAAATTCAATTCATATTATAAAATTCAACTTATAAAAATTATTATTTTCAAAAATATTGTAAAAAATTTGAATATATATTCGAATTATATACATGTCTCTTCTATCACATATTCAAAGCATACCTTTATTCGAACATCCTCTCGTGCTATTCCATCGCAATCCCCGTTTCGCTATTATTCAAATCTCATCTCTATTCCGCCCTACCATTCCCTCGAAAATTGTCGCGATTAGTTAACAGATTAAAATCTGTTTATCACGAAGGGAACTTTCCATGCTCTCGATCACGGAGTCGGAATAAATAATACAGTCTTTTCCGCGAGGCAACAATGCGAAGCAAACAAAGCTGGGTAATAAAGGAAGTTTGTAGAAATTTCATAAGGGATGTGTAACAAAGCAACGTTTTCAGAGATACGTTTTTCAAATGCACACGTCATATTAAGCTCATGGAATACGGACACTTTACGAACTATTCATTTTTCAAAAAGAAACATCAACTTTCTACGTTTCTTCACTTATTTAATTTCTTTCTACACTTTGAAACACAGTGGTCGCAGAAAGAATATTTGCATATATCCTCCTTCCTCCTGTTGGAAAATTCAATTGATAAAAAAAAATCACGACAATCAAACAACAGCTAATACAAATTTGCAATATATTTTATGAAACAACACGATTTTCGATAAATTTGCACAGAAGAAGATTTTGAACGAAATTTATATATTATTTTTACATTGAATCATCTATTGAATACAGAAGCGTTCTTTTATTATTGATATTTCGTTTAATGCATGTATTTATGTAAAACGCGCAAAACATATAACAATAGTAAAACTACATACTTTCACGAAAATTAGTATTTAAACAAGTTATAAGAAATACAATTGCATGCAAATATTTTCTGCAGCCACCGCAGGTCATCCGACGCCGCACGTTCACCGATGCATTGCGGTGCACGAGAAACGTTAGCTCGCGGATATACGAGTAGCGGTTTCTTCTTGGGATTTTCCGGTCTTTTTTTTTTTTTTTTCGCTCGACCGTGGAACAGAGGGAAGAGGACGACGAGAGAAAAGGATGTGGGCGAGGCGGTGGTTAGTTGCCTGAGAGGAAGGGAGGAGGGGCGGGCAAGAAGGGGTGGCGAAAGAATGGAAGAACCGAAGGAAGGAAAGAAGGTGGACACAGGGGGTTCCGCCTTTATTACGTGCACGGTTACTTATTCCCCGTGGGCTGATATCGCGTTCTACGTATTTCCATTCAACGAATTTCTTGCCCCTTCTTGCTTGGAACAACTGGGAACAGTTGCGACCGAGTGTCGTCGTAAAAACGTGCAACTTCTTCCAAGTAATGTGCACACGGGACGACTTGTCTCGTTGCACGTAGAGAGACATTAGTTTCTCATACAGCTTTTCTGTACCGTTGTATGCAAAAATGGGAATTTTCAAACGTTAAACTCGTCTACGTACGTTCGAAAGGTTTGAGATTGTGTTGTGTTTCTCGTAAATATTTGGACAATTGGTATATATTTTGGAATAGAAATGGATATTCTGCTACTTTGTATTAATTTTTAGTGTATTAATTTTTATCATATAATATTTTGAACATATTATTATAAATACTTTAATTATGGAGTTATATATGTACGTACTTCATAGATTGTTTAAAAGTTGGAAAAAATTATATAAATTATATATATTGATTTAATATTTTATATGATAAAGAAAATATAAGACCTTGATATGTTAATAATTTTACCAACAAATGCAATTTAGCAGATAATAAGATTTTATTGGAATCCGATACTATTAAGTATGCAAGTAGTACGTACATATGATATGTCAGACATACGTGAAATATTATTTTAAGTTCATTGGTACATGATATCGCACTCTATTTGTCATATATATGCCACTTTCCTTTGAATAACGAATAATTTGAATAAATCTGATTTAATGGAGTTCCTCATAGAAATTTGTAGAGAAAAATTATGCATTTTGAAGGAATTTCACGAACGTGATTCAATCTATTTAAAGATATTCAAGAGAAGTTATATTAATTGTTAGTTAGAGTAAGAAAAATCACATTTTCGAATAGAATATAGGTTAAAAGTGATTTCGATCGATAGATGCAAATGTTGTAAACCAACTCGAAAAGCATTATATAAAAGTTTTCTATATTTTTAAAATTATTACTAATAATTCTAAAATTTCACTAATATATATATTAGTAAAATATTATCATATGCACGTAATTTAAAAATGAATAGTAAAGATCAAGCATTCAGGGATTTTATCAATTTTATAGACTAATGGAGTATTCATGAACGAAACATAAGTTCTGTATCGTACGTACGTGGGATACAATCGTGAGATGAATAAAGAGAGACGCGATTCACGGTTGGAAATTTTCCTAGCATCTTGCGAGAACAACGGAGAAATTAATGGCACAAAGCTGTGTATTGTTTATTTCGTTTGCTTAATATTCCCGTTTGCTTGGGAATGGCTCTCAGTCCATGATATACGGGGAATCGGACTAGTTTATATTGGACTCGAACGCGCACGCGTTTATGGCTGGAATAGATTCAACTTAGGGATGTAAATTCAGTTATCGTGAGGGAACGCGTTGGAACGATAATTGAAAGGGTTTATGATGGACAAGATGAACCTCTGATAGAGTGTTCTTCGAGCGTAATGAGTTAAATATATTTGGCATCGAGAATTTGTATATAGTTCAATTGAATTTTTGATAATTTTGTGAAATTGTATTGATAAAAAAAAATACGAAGCTAGTAGCTTTACTCTCCTTAATAATAATGAATAAAAATCTAAAATTCTTTTTTTTTTATTTTTCAAGATATATTAAATATTTTAAATACTACACACTTTTTACTTTTTAATAAGTTACAAGTTAGAAAATAATATATTGTTCCTAAATTAATATGAATATTCATTCCAAAATTGGGAAAGAGGTATCGTTACTTACATCGTATCCGGAGAATTCTCCCTTTCCTGGAGGGCCTGGAGGTCCTTGAGCGCCCTTTTCTCCTGGTATTCCATCGCGGCCAGGTTCTCCTTTTTGACCTTGAGGACCTTCCGGTCCCGGTATTCCCACGTCACCTTTATCTCCCTTGGGCCCCTGTGGCCCTTCTAATCCTCTCTCTCCTGGTGGCCCAGCAACACCCTGCACAATTATTCGTTTGCATGAATTATTATTATTTCATCAGAATCACTTTAATTAATTATTAATAAATTCCAAGAAAAATTACATCTTCGCTCGAGGATTTATATTCCGCTTATGTAAAATCAATATTTACATAAAATTAAAACGTACGTTTGTATTAACATGGTTTAAAGGGTATTGGAGGGATTATTTGGTCTTGCAGTTTGGTCTATAGAGAAATATTCTTTATTTGACATAATGTTATTCGTTGTTGACATTATCATTATGTTATTATTATTATTATTATTTTTTTTTTTTTATTACGAAGAATCTGGTTTTTACAAAGCGTCAATACCGTCAGCCCCATTTGGCCTTGTTTTCCTTCTTGCCCCGGCACCCCTTGTTCTCCTTTCGGTCCCTGGATCATCTTTGGCATCGTAAAGGATGCCATCAGGGCTGTTGCATTGCAGGTGCACGTGCCGGGTTCTCCTTTCTTCCCTGGCGGACCCTGCAGCATTTTGATCAGTCTGTCATTGCAAATATATACACTCTCTACGAAGGGTAAACTTTGTTACGTGCGGTGGTGGATTACTAACGGGTAATCGAATTACTGGGGATAACAAAACTTCTATCCTGGCATTTTGTAATTGTTCATTTACATTGTATGCATGATTTCATGGATAATCTCAGCGATAAGCGATTTAACGTTGCGATTGCTAATGCATGTATTATAAACCAAACGTTGCCAGGAAAATGATTAAATTACAAAATTATAAATTAATAAAATTATAATGATTCAAGATGCGTGGAAACAGCGTTTGTTCGTTGTTTTAATCTTAAATCGCAGTGTTAAATTTTTGGTATTTATTAAAAAGAATAAATGTGGAAAATTATTTCGTAATTACTTGATTTTGTTTCTCAATGATATTGACTGTAATTATTCAAATGTTACGCGAGCACCAAAAATTGATCACTGTATCGAGTCAGGGGATGAATGCATCAGGCGTTAAACAAATATAATTCTATACATATCTGTATATTGATAATTTCGAAAGATAGTGAATATTATGAAAGGGGTTCCTCTGTAATCAATGTTACATGCAGTGGTTACTAGTACTTCAACATGCTGGCTAAATTGGCTTGCTCGAGTAGGAAGATAAATGAGTGATTTCAGATTGGAATGTATTCAAGCTCGCTTCATATGCACGCTACTGAATTATTATTGCCGAAATACGTAGTTCTCGAATAATGAGAGATTTCTAGTTCAAGTTCTTCATTGCTGTTAAGTGCAGATTCTTGTATATCCAATTTTATAAAAAGACTAATTTTATAATTAATTTTTTAGAAAATTTAAAAAAAAAAGAAATTCTAACTTTTGTAGCAATTGATGACGTAGCTATTTATTAAAAAAGTCGAAATTTATTCATTATTCATATGAAAGAAAATTTATTTCTTTTATCTTATTCTATAAATTTCACATTTTATATGAAAGATAATTCTAAAACGAAAAAGCGAAATTTTAATAATTAAAATCGATTACAAAAATCATAGATGATTTGAAATCTATGTGAAAAATAATTCAGTTTTTTTTTACATATTTTATATTTTAAAAAAATAACGAAAAATTGAGAACAAATAAAATTCTCATTGCAACAAATAATTTTTCCCCCACAATAAGAATCGATCACGAATTTATAAAAACTCTTTACACAACGTTTCAGCAATGAATAAAGCAAGATTATCACGCGTAACTAATTCCCGATGAAAAAAAGTGTCTTAAATTATGAAAATATATTCCCTCGTTACGTCCGACGAATTGCGGCATTCATAATCCACGGTAAACTGCCGTCATTACTCCATTATAAAAGATGAATACCATTTCAACAAGCCTACGGAATAACGTTAAATCGATACATACACCGCCGTCTCCCTTAATACGTGTGCTTACTACTGAATTATTATTCATTTATTATAATGAAACTCTGACGAACACACGTGCCTTATAATATTTCACAGACGAAGCCAAACGAGCAAAATCTCGCGCAACCAACAATAATTCCTTTTTTCCCCTTTTTCTTCTTCTTTTTCTTCTATTCTAATTTCTATCCACTTTCCTCGAACGAATATCGTTTCAACTATATAAGTCCATTTAATTCTTTTCTTTCGACATTTGACTTGAAAAGTTTCAACTTGCCCGGTATTTAGGCCACACGGTATTCATTCTTTCGTATGAAAACAATACGGTCGTAAGCGAAATGCAAACGCGCGATCCTGTAATATGCGCAATGCATTCAGGCCTGCCTTTATACGTGTATAGACTACTGAGCTATTACAGCTGGAAGTCCAGCGGTTTGTGTGTAAGGATTGCTAATGGAACATCTTTGGTACTGTACGATACGTACATAACCGGTATAACACATGCGATATACTAGGTGGTATATAATATAGTTCGGTGTATAATTTGCATAAATTATACGAGGACATTTATGCATTCTACGTGCTACGGTCGTACCTACGTTTCTGGATACGAGTCGACTTTAAATCCTACCTTAAATTTAATTCCACGATTTTAGAATGGATGGAAATTAATGAATTAGTGTGCACAGGGTGACATAGGCGAGTTTAAAACCGCTTTGAATGTCGATGTTAATTGTTTTTTGAATTATCAAAATGTTGTTCGATGTAGCTAAAATGTACATGTGTGTACGTGTAAGTTCGTTTAGAATGGTGAATATTCCGCGAATATTCTTTATATGTTCATTCATGATCCTGTATTTAACAAGAGAACCAACTTATATATACATATATTATGCGTAATATTAATTTTAATCGACCAATTTTGTGATTGTGATCAATTTTGTGATTTATTTTACGGAAAATGTTATCGAAAATGTTTCCTACGTCTTTTCTAATTATATATTCGAATTTAAAGTTTGATAGTTTCAAGATTGCACATTCTCGTTAATTTATTATTTACCTCATCTTGACCAGGTGGACCAGGAGGACCTGGAGGTCCTCTAACGCTCTCACCCTTGTCGCCTTTATCACCTTTCTCACCTTTCGGTCCCTTGTCTAAGAAATTTAAAAAAAGAACATGGTTACAAATCATATATTTATCATATATCTATAATATAATCTATAATATAACCATATAAGTATTCTTTGTCGATCGATATATATTACCGAAACCAATGGATTTTCCTTCAATAAGAAGCCAAGAACAAAATTGATCAAAGATAATCATCGTTTAATACGAAACTCAGAGGAGTATAATATTTCTGGAATTTCGATTCATCTCATCGTGGATTCTCTCGAGGATCCTTTTTGAATATTATATCGACAAAGGATACCCGGTAACGAAGCCTCGGTGATTAAAGAAACGCCATTTAATGGAATTTCGACGTCGCCGCCAGCAGTCAGGATATTTCTTATCTGTGATCTTATGATTAAATAAACTCGCAAATTCCTCGCGATTACTCACAGTCCGGGTTGGGAGGAGGGGGTGTGATGAATGGCGGTGGATTGCTTTCCTCGCTTCTGTCTTCGTCATCGTCTCGTCCGATCTGAAAACGGATGGTAAGAAGAAACGGTGAATAAGAACGCTAACCGTGATTTATATATCGTTATATGGTAAAAAGGAACGAGAAAAAAATTTAAAAAAAATAAAAAATAAAAAATAAAAAAAAAATAAAAAGAAAGGAACGAGCAGGAGACCGCTGAAAAGAAAAACGAACAGCGTAAAAGTTTCATCGCTTATGGATGGACGTGATTGATTGCACGTTGCGCTGGGTCGATTTATTTGCGATGGAAAAGCAGAGAAATCACTCCATTTTCACCAATTTGTTATCAAGCTCGTGGTTAATATAACGTTGCATCAAGGAAATACTTAATTAATGTATATTAGTGATACGTAACAATGCAAAGAAATATTTTAAAAATATTCTTAAGTATTAATTAATAGAAGAAATTTATTATTAAATTTTTTCTTAATAAATTAATCAATAATCAGGTCTTTTTTATCGTTATAATATTGTGTAATTTTAAATTTCTGATAATAAATATTGCGCTATGTTTTTATATAAGTATTTTATCGATAAATATTTTTCAAGCTTTAAATAGCTTAGATAATTACGGGAAAACGATTTCTAAAATAATAATACATGATTGAATAATAATATCTATCATATTCTTGTTGGAGTAGATGTAGATGTGTCCGATCATAGAAAGGCTTTTACTACTTACAGCTTCTCCTTATATATGTATGTAATTCATTGTATACTACAATATTTTTAACAATATTTTATATTGTATTTTCATTTTTTTTAAAAAGAGAGGACTTTTCTTACGTAACAAATTTTTAAAAAGAAAAGTTATACTATATTTTACACATTACATTGTATAATAAAAGACTTTTAAAAGGTTTTACATCAAGTAGAGAAAGAGAAGCTTTCAATGCTTCTTTTTTTCTTTGCTCTTTTTAAGAATCACTCTCCACTCTGGAACAAAAAACCGGCTATTTTTCATTCAGGATGATTGACTATTGGCATCAAACAGTTTTAGTTTCTATCGAATATGTCCTTTGGAGATTAATTAGAGTATTTAAAATTGAAGGATCAATTTTTCGAGTCGGAACTTTTTTTCCTCTCGAAAAATGAATGATCGCACAGGTAGACGGTGATTAATGAACTTTCGGTTAAATCAAGCGGAACGGTTAGCACATATTTGCCCTAAGTACTTTCCAATAATTATTAGCAACGATGCAGATTTATAGAGCCAAACCGCACTTTGACAGTTATTTATCGTCGATTTTCCGGCTCACATACTCTTTTTATCTCGATCTTGATTTGGTTATGTATATAATGATCCTGATATAAATATCTTTATTTAAATAACGTATTTATATAAATTATCGAGTATTTCAAATTGTTCTAATTACGAAGTCATCAATGTCACTTATCCATATTTATTTTATATTTCCGTGCGTTGAATTTAAAAAAGGTATCAATGATTATAAAAATAATTTAATCGTAAATCAAATATCTGAGAGAATTAAATTTATCATTTATAATTAATTAATAATATAAAAATTTCTTATTATAATATGAAAATATATTTGTATAAATTGAATTATTTAAAAATTTAAAATAAGTCACTTAACATTTTAAAAAATCCAATCTGAAGATAACGTTAAAAATAGTAAACAAAGATTAAATTCAATTTTTCTTCTTCTAATGTCATTCTAATTCCTTTATTCCTCACAGATGTCGCCACATGTACAATTCATGAATTGTTAGAATAATTTTTTTTATATATTTCTATCTTTTTGAATTGCTCATTCAAATAGTAATGTAAATTGAAGAATATCAGCTTTCACATATAAAGTATCGCGGATTTTGAATCCCCAAGGGAAATATAATGCAACAACATCGTCGCGTTTACGATCCCTAGCTTCCTTTAAGCGATGCTTTTGGACGACACGAAACTGGTTCCACGATTTTCTATAAAAATCTTTATTTGCCGCGAAAATTGCCTTTCGTCCCGTGTAAACGGACAGTGATTTCGAATCGAATATCGTTTCCTCACGAAAATTGCTAGTTATTTCGTTATTTTCGATTCGGGTTGAACATCGATAGAGATGCGCGCGATATGTTTGGGAGTATTGTGTTGTATTGTAGATGTTGTATGTTTTCTGTGAAAACGTTGTTACAGGAAGACAATGCTTCATTGTTTCGTTTAGATTAGATTTTCGTTTGGTTCTATCTACGATTAATTAAATGGTTCGACAATTTCTCTTAATCTCGATCGAGGGTTTTAATTACAAGAAGACGAAGACGAAGACGAAGACGAAGACGAAGACGAAGACGAATTTAGTTTAAATGCAATTTTCTTTTTATTGAATTTACTTAAATAGTCAGTTTTTATTAGAAGATAAAAAAAAAAATCTTTTTTACATTTTATTTATTTTTTTGAAGAAACTTGCGATGAAAATTTTCAAAAAATATTGTTCGTGAAATTAATTATTTTATTTTTGAAAAAGTTAAATCAATTATATTGAAATTAATTTTTAAAAAAATATGGAATTGATTGAACAATTGTCATTGCTTTGTTTCTTTTCCAAAACTCTCGATCGCAATTTACTGAATTCACTATTTTTATAATATCTTGAATCTATTTATATTTTAATACATTTTTTCTCTTTTATTTTTTTTCCTTTATTTTCAAAAATTTTGATTATTATTTTTAACGATTCATTTTTTCGATCAATAGCGAATGGAATTATTTAATAATTAATATTTTAATCGGATCGATACATATCTAGCAAGTAAGTCACGTTCGAGACAATTTGTAATTCATGTCTTTATTGTCTATATACAGAAAGAGTAAATTTACATTTCATGTTAGTAGTACACATAAGTAAAAACATGCAAATATTCATTTAGAGAGAATGTATTTTGTTTAGACTTTGTTTATGGATTAAATATTTTTATAGTCCAACTACATTTCGTATAAATGCGTGTAACAGTAATATGAAACAATTAATTGTTTGATGTATCAACATATAAAAAAGAATCACTAATAAATCTTAATAAAAATATATATTGAAGTCATATTTAATTTGTTAAGCTTTTTAGAAAAGCTTTTTTTAGAATTTTGGATTCTTTTTTAATAATCTTTTTTTTCTTTTTTTCAACATATTAATCATAATATAAATGTTAATGTATTCTATCTGAGAAAAAATTAAAAAAAAATGAATTGCTAATTAATTTACAGAATTAATTAACAAAAGATTCGATGTAGAAATAAAAAAAAAAAAAAGATTTAGAAATTTTTGATCCAATTATTAATATTAAATTTATTGTAATATAATTCTGGACATGTTAATTTAATTTTAAAAAAGTAAAAAATCATTAAAAAATAGTAACATAGGAGGATAGAAAGTTAAATCTACTTTGATTTCTATCTAGTTACATTTGAAATTCATTTTCAATGCGAAAGTTATAATGAATTTTGATTAATGTGAGGTTAAAACACTGCAGCGGAAAGAAAATACTCATTTCAATGTTAATATTATCGAATATTTATGAGTTGAATTAGAATATCAAGGATAAGAGTGAATTAATTATTCTTTCATTTATAAGAAAAATTGAATTTGAATGAAATACTTCTTTATTATACTATTTGCGTATTCTAGAAGTCTTTTCTGATTTGCCTATGTATCAAAGACTATCTGAAACTATTTATATTAGAAGAAAAAACTTTTTCATTATTTTTTCCTTTACTTTTAAATAATTGAGTCATATATAACCGTAACAATTTACTTTGTTTCAATTTATTTTTTTTGTGTTCATTTTTATATATCAATTGATCCAAATATATCAATTGATCCTTATCAAAGTCTTTATAAAGAAATTAACTTCTATTAAAGCAATTTTTTTAATAAAAATCTTAAAAAAATATTTTCAGAAAATTCTAAAAGAATTCTCGTCTCTTCTTCCCAAATAAATTCTCTAAATAAATCTGTAAAACAAAAAAAAAATGATCGACGAAACAATTATTGATGATCTGAAAAACAACTTCAATGACGAAATCCTTATTAATTTAACACTAAATGGAATTCCCTTGTCGCTTGAGAAAATAATCCCTAAAATATTCTTTTTTATCCTCATTATCGTTTCGTTTAAGGAAAATAATTAAGCGATTCCTCTGGATTTCGCCAATTTATCGATTCCAAATGGAATTCTCTGGTCGCGAAATCGAAGAACAGAAATAACTTGAAAGTAGATCAAATCGATAACCATTCTTAACGCAACGAGAACAATAGAACAAGTTGAATATAGAGGATACCGTTTCATCAGTGCACAAAAGGTATCGACACACAAGTGCACACAGGTGAAACTTATGGCCGATCGCAATAATACGTGGCGCGTTATGACGGGAACGACCGCAGGCTGTTCCAGTGAATTCGTTCACCCGGTATATCCTGATCAGCTCCAGCATGCACGGCTGCGTCTTTGCATCTCCGTTCCGGGAGCTTTTCTTCTGAAGTAGGATTTCACGGGTGAAATAAATTCCTCTGGCTTCCTTTTTCTCTCTCCCTCCTTTCTTCTCTTTTCTTCTTCTTCTTCTTTTTTTTTTCCTTCGACGAAGATAGGAAATACGAATGAATTTTACGGACAGATCGGTTGACGCGAACGTTCTGGAGAAATTCGTGTCAAAAAATTGAACGAATGATAATTCTTATTCTTCGTCTTCGTCTAATCTCGAATATTAATTTTATCTTGGAATAAGATTGTAATAAATGTTATATTGGGGAAAGGAAATCTTGAATTGATACATTAATCGAAATTATTTAATTTTTATTAACGTTTAATATTTTTCTAGATATGGTAATCTTGTTGTTTCTTTTATTTTATAAAAAACGGGAAAATGGATATTATATTATATGAAATATATTTAAAATATATAAGTATGAATACTTTAATGATATAGATGAGATTTACATTATTGCAAAATATGTTCCATATTTTTTTTTAACATACGAGATAGAACAGAGACAATAACAATGTGCCAAAAAACTTTTTTTGTCGAAATTACAAAACATTTTAGTGGTGCACTTCGTTAAAATTTGGGTAAAGTATGTTGTCCTTTCAACCTTAATTTAAACGAGGCAGGCGGAAAGTAGTCCACCAAAGCCAAATCTAGCGAGGAATTGTGTACAACGGTTCCCCCTTTGCGGAAGAATTGTTTGTCAGTGGTTCCATTGTGGGATAGCATATTGCTGGTTAGGAAGATAAGGGTGAAAGCGTGTTTATATTTGCTGACCAGTGTGTATAATAAAGATGATCGTACATTGTTGGAATTTTATTACGATACGAGTGCTTGAAACACGATGAATTTGTCACATGAATTAAACTTTAATGAGATGTGCCTTTGAACGAAATTAAACGGATATAACTGAACGTAAACACTTTTAACATCTATAGGTGTATGTGTAACATGATGCGTAATTTTATTTTTATAAAAATTGAAAATATAAAATGAGATAAATATAAATTGTTTTTTAATGGAGAAAAAAGAAACGATTAATCGATCCTAAGATTAATTATTCGTTAAAATAATTTTTATTTATATATTTTTTCGCTAAATAATTATAAAATCGGCCAACAAATATAATTATTTAAATTCATTCTCGCTTAAAAAAATATTATTCGTATTCTAAAAAGAATAACGATAGAGGAATATATAGTTTTACGCCCATGTCTCACTTATGATCGACTTTTCTACTGAAAGTTTGTCTTTTCATTTCCAAATTTAAATATAATTTATTCAAATATAATTCATACTTTCTCTGCAAGTCACTACGACCTCCTAACAACATTCTAAATTCTATTTCAATTATTTCAGTTATCCTGTTTCAATTATTCAACTTCAATTCGAGTTTATTCGACCGTAAACGAGAAGAATCTTCTTGATAAACGTTCCTTCTCCATTGCCAGTATTCGAAGGTTGAATCGAATACACTGTGGGCAAAAGGACAAATCAATTCTAGTTGGCAAATTAACTTGGACAAAGCTAGATTGTCTCGTTTAATTGCCAAAGTGAATGGTTAGATGGCGAGAATCAAAGTTCGTCGATCGTTTCTACTTTCTCGTGCATGGACACCTTCCTCCATTTTACAACAAAATAATTTCGTCACTCGAAATCCTCTATTAATCTATTTCCTTCAATAATTTCAAATTCTACATTATTTTTCTTTCTAAAATAATGTAATAAATAATAATTTACAATTTTAAAAAGATCCTCGTCAAAATATTCTATTTTATTAATAAGAATAATTTTTTGAACTAGTTCTCGATTAATTATTGCATCCTTTCCTATCAATTTCAAATTATCGTTAATCTCAATCTTTTCTTTAAAATAAGTTGATAATACAAAAGCTTTAAGTGATGCTCAATCTAAATCTCATATTCCATCTTGAGTATAACTTATACTTAAAAACGACGATCGAATCTTTTAGCTTAGTTAAAATTAATTTAATCGTCAAAAGGTTTAATACAGATTGGAAAAAAGAAGAATTTTGGAAATGATGAAGGTAGAAAGATTTGGAAATCTTTCTAAGAGACGAGACGAATCGGCACGATCATTGATGCTAAATCAGAATTTTTAAGATCATACTCTCAATATTCCCGAAGATTATCCCCATAAAGCGATCATGCTCTTCTTCTATCCTTGAACAGCTTTCCACACAATTTTTTCCAAGTTATCGAAGCGTCTTGAATGTATAAACTCGAACAGTTGCAATTAAAACATTTCGAAATGAAAATTTCCTTTGTCCTCGATCATTTTCTTCACTTTGCATCTCATTTCGAATAAATTAATCATAGAGTTATTTTTAAACAATGAAAATAATAAGTTGTAGTAATCTTTAATTGATCGATATTTTGGAAGAAGAGACTTTATAGCTATTTAAGAATCGTTTAAAATTTGAAAGGAACTGAGAAAAATTGTGTAAAACGTTTTAGTTGGCTATAAATATATAAATATGAGGGAAGAGAGGAAGAGAAAATTATAAATTATTTGCTTATTACAAAAAGAGGATGATAATTTGAAAAAATTTATGAAGCAGTATTTTAACAGATTTTGTTGATACATTGAAAAAGATAATGTTGAAAATAAATTTAAGATTTTAAGAGATTATTACACTCACTTTTTATATGATAATATATGTAAATAGGTTATTTTAGATAAATATAGGATATTTATTATTTCTGGCGAATAATAAATATTTTTATTTCTTGTTTAATTGATCATCGCAAATGCTCGTCAACATAATTTTTAAATTTTTCTTTTACATCAGTATCATACGCGACCATAAATTTATAAGTTGGTTTACTTTCAGTCGCCTGCTGGTTTATGTTTAAAATAAATTTAAAATATTTACGGATTTGTTTATTTTCACTTTTCATATTCATCAGGATCGAGAAAAATGTATATATTTTAGTTGTTTTACATCTTAATAATATATTCAAGATTATTAATTAATTAAATTATTCTGTTCTTGTATAAATAATTAAATAATTAAAGAAGCAAAGTTAGTCTCATAATATAAAGCATTAAGTTAAATCCAATTAGAAAATAGAAGCATTATATTTAATCGAATCTTTATCACGATTAAGCATGAGTTATTATCGAAAGTGGTTATTTCACTCTAGAAGAAAAAATTCAGTAATTATTATCAGTTATATTCAGTTACTGTTAGTTAATTGCAAAATTAGTAACGATTACTAAGCTAATAAGCGTGAAAGCTGAACCCATCAGATTTTTTTTCCCCCTTTTCTTTCAGCTGGTTGGATTTTTCAAGCTCTCACAGATAGATCGAAAGATCGTTGTTTGAAATTTTCCGAGCAACGAGTCGTGCATTCGAAGTTTATATCTCCCTAACAATAAATGTTGAGACACGAAGTTCTCATGTTAATGGAATTAATTATTGGTTATGTTGCTTGCAAAACAAATAATTAGCGAGAAATTTTCAGCTAATTCAACTCATCATTTAACTCACGTCTGTCAAATTAATATCAAATCCTGAACCATTATCGATCACCTCGTTATCGATTTCACCTGAGCCGAGATCCACATCTTGGTCGAACTATAAAAAAAATTGTAATTAGAATAAAAAATGATTGGAGAGGGGAATTGGAATTCTTTTTTTTCTCTTCATGAAAATTTATTGTGCTTAGTGACAAGATATATTGTGCAATTGAAAATAATAGACTTTATTGATTTTATATTTTGAGTTCATATTGGATAATATGGGGAAAAGTTTTAGACAGATATTTTAAATTGTTTAAACTGGCATTTATGATCTGAAAATTATGAATCTTTAATCAGAAAAATAATATAGAACTTACTTCAGTATTCGTTAAACATCTAATTTTATAGCTTTAAATTGAATTAAGTTATTCGAAAAGATAAAAGGAAAATTTAAAAATAATTAATATATACAATATACAATTAAATTGAATTAAAAATGCTTTTTAATTTTGTTAAAAAATCTTCATCAAAATTTCTATCCTCTATTTCCCATATAATATTCTATTTCACAATATAGAATATTATACTCGTGAAATAGGATTAAAAGATAGATACATTTCATTTGCAGTATAAATATCATTAACGATATCATATCGTATACCGATAATGGTTAAGTGGTACGTGTATCACCGATATCGGTATCGTAATGAGCTATATGTTATACGAGCATTACAAACAGGATAATTAATTGTCCTTAATATTATATAATATACGACGATCCTTATTTTCAATTTTACATTAAACATAAATATATAAATTTACATAGAGTAAAATGAACATACATAATTGCAAAGTCAAATATAGAATTAAACAAACCGAGTTAATTTCTCTCTATCCCATCAATTTCTATAACTGGAAATCAGTCTTGCTATAATATTATTGTTTCGTATATAACTTTCCACTGGAATGTTCTCCAAAACAATTTCTAATTAACAATTTTCTTCGAGCAATATCTAATAGCTATTGTTGAAGTAATTTTATAAAAGACCAAGTTCAAAATCAAGATTGTAAGAAGTTTACGCATAAAATAATTTAAAGTGTAATTTTTTTTTATATTTTCAATAATATATAGGAATTGATTATTAATTTTAATTTATCTTTAATTAAGCATAATATTAATTATTTATTTTTGAAGTATTCATAATTTAATGAATTAATGAAATGCTATTCTTTGATAAATACGTGTTAATCATAATTGATATTTTTATATTTAAATTATATTTTTAGGATAGTTTATAGCAGATGTATAAAATTATCATCTTTATAAGCAGATCGAATCAAAAATTCAAATCCGACGATTGTTGCATTAATTATACCGTTGAATTAACGAAGCATAATTAAAACGTTCGATTGAATCCCATCTTTAATTGTTTGAATATTAAATAACTCATTATTTAAATCTCTATTTTACATGATAGTCGAACTCGAAAATTGATTGTCTTTCATTAAAAATATTTTTATCCTCGGGTCTTCGAAAATGCCTAAAAAACTTTACAATCGTACATCTTATAATAAATATAATAGAAATCAAAAATTTGAAATCTCTTACCAAATTTTATTAATTCCAAATTAATGCTATATTATTTATTCAAATACAAATTTTTATTTAAAAAATTTTTCAAGTTAAAAAATCAATCTAACTTTTTCGAATTTTTCCATGGAATGCAAAATAATTTCAAATTTTCGATCAGGAATTCATTTAAATAATCTTTCGAACGGATCATTGGCAACTGGAAAGTCAAACTTCCGATCGAAATTAGAAACTAATCCACTTAAACACACCCCGTGTAATACGCTTTACACGTTGTTAACACAGCCGTTGTCATTCCGTATACACGGGCGGACAGGGCTTAATTAATCTCATTTCGACGATTTCTGATCGAACACGTCCCTATCCCACCCTTTTCAATTATTCGAGGAGCCAAGATACCAAGCTTGCCAGTTTCGCTGAGATGATTAATTTGTTCAATCCTATAGTGGAAAATTCATTTAATATCATAGCAGTTAAAAATTTGATCGATTAAATGAACTTGAGGACATTTATCGAACAAATATTTCATTTGGATTTTGATCTTGACTTTGTTTTTCATTCCTTGTTTTCTCCATTGTCGATTATTCTTCGAATATAATTAAATTATTAATCTTTTAATTAAATTAGAAATAGTTGAAGTAATTAAAATATTAAGAGAATAAATTATAAGTTATTGTATAAGTTAAGTGTATTGGGTGAAGAATATCTTGTGAATAATTATAATGTATTTATAAAATTTATTAAAGAAGAGAGGTGTACGTTTTTATATTGTTTCTTCCATAACTTCAAATATATTGAATAAATAAAATATTTTTAATAATCATGCTATAAGCATAGTTATAAAATATGAAGATAAATTAAAATTGAGTCTCATAAAAGAAAAGTTAATTCTTTTTATTTATAGATTATCATTGCGAAAAATTTCCTAGTTTCCTATATCCTAGTTTCAAAAATTAAAAATAGTTTATTGAAATATTCGCATTAAGAAAATTTTATCAACCGTGACAAGAATATTTAACTTTTCCAAAAATAAAAAATGTTCAGAAATATATCTATTTTATTTTGAATATGATCAATATTCGAACACATTGACTGTAAAACAAACAAAAAAGAATATTCAAATAAAATTCTTGAGAATATATTTATAACAAAGGAAAAGTTGTAATTATAGGAGCGATTGTTTGTTGAAACTGAACAAAGGAATATTTATAGTGAAGTGTTTGCGTGATACCGAGTATAGTTTGCATATAAATTGCGTTCGATTCTTGTTTACTTGTTTCCTTGACAAAGGTTGCTTAATCCTTTTGAAACTAAAGAAAAAAAAAAAGTTATTGTAGCGAAACAAAAGTAATGTTATATATTCCACCGTATTGTACTTTCCATTGTACTTTTTACTAATGTTTTTCGAAATCTTTTAAACCTTCCCTAATGGAACACGGAGTTAGATTTCAAAAATGTCAAAAAGAAATGGAACTTTATCTCACGATTTAATACAGTGCATCATATTTGATTTCATGATTTAACGACGAAGATTATTGTTTTACAAGTTAATTCAGCATTAATAAAAACATTTTGCTCTCTTATTCAATATAATTAATTAATAAACCATGATAATAAATAAATCAATTAATTTTACAACAGATCTTTTTGTAATTATTTGGATTTGACTCAAATATGTTTCGAGCAGTTATTAAAAATTTAATTTGATTTCCATTCTTTATATTATATTTTCAATCAATACTAATCAATATATTTGATGTGTATGAAATTTTTCATGTATTGTATAATAGGCAATAGTGTTTCTATTATATTTTATTATTTATCTGCATTTAATATCTACAGATACTAGTATCTCGATTTGCTCCTCTTCATTTTTAAAGATCTCAAATATTTCATTTCCAATCTATTTTTATATTGCAAGTTTTAATATATTTTAATATATTTTATTCGTTTTTATCAGATCATAACCAATAGAGAATGCTGGTTTATAGAATGTTTATTGAGATATTTAAAGTTTGCAGAAAATTAAAATATTAGATCAGAAGAGAATGTTTGAAGCATATTACTATTGGTTTCGTTTTTGCAGTGGAATCGATATTCAAGTTTCTTTTCTCTTTTTATTTTCTTGCGCCCAGACTCATTATTCGTCATTCGCAATTAAAATCGGCGGCGATAAATTCATGAATTTCATTATGCAAATAATATCGTGATAATTTGTTTCGAGTGATAAAATACTCGTGTCGCGGTCTCTCGGGGATTTTAACTGGCTGTGAACAAGACAATGAGCAATATTCTAATATTAAAAAGAACAATAGACGATAATATTTCTTATTCAATGTAACAAATGAGGAATGAAAATTTGTAATAAAAGCACAAAATATACAATATAAATGTAAATTGTAATTTAATTTTATAATCGATCTTATTTTTAAAAATGAACTGATAAACTGGAAGAAGGGAAAAAATTAAATAATGAATATCATAATATTTCTTTATAAATTAACATTTCTTAAATATGTCAATAAATTTAATTAATTTTGTTACATTTAATCAGCTTATAATTGATTTTACTTTAAAAGAATAAACTGACATGTAGAAAAAGAATAACAAAAATAATATGAAATAGCATTAATTAACTTTATTAAATTTTATATTTATAAATAAAAAGAATGTATAAATATTATCAAATAATGTTATCGATATTAAACATAATATCATTGATAAAATTAAAACCAAGTTTCAATAATCGATAAAAATTATAAGTTTTCCAGCCAGCTTAAATTTCCCATTATGTCATTTAACAACAAGATAGCACGATATACGAGGGTATCCCTATATTATTTCACAATAATTAATACATTGAGCTCGCTGTATCCGGGTGTATTTCAATTTTGATCGAAACAGATTTATCTATAGTTTCGCAATACGCGAACCCAAGATTCGATATCTTGTATCAATTTGTGTTTCAATATCCTGGTTGATCCTAAAATTTAAAGTGCCGTTAAAATCGATTATGTACAGTGTCGATTAATTTCGAGAATTTTTTTTTTTAAAAATCTAATTAAAGTACTCTTATCTTAAAAAAATATATAATTTCGAAATGAAGAAGATTAACTTTGATTTCTATGACGATGATTATTTTAAAGTAAATATGAAAATAATCGGGAGATTTTATATAAATAAAATCTGAGTTGTGAAAAGAGGTGAAATCAAATTTTTGACTGGTAATGTACACTTAAATTGATGTACGTGTATATATACGCACATAAGTCTCACGTTTCACATTTAATTATTTTTTAGAAATTGAAGCCGAGAAACGAGCGTTCGTGCAAACGGGAAATATAATTCGAGATACTTCATCCACTAATTTAGTCCTAACTTAGTCCAATTATAAATTTTATAATTTATTTTCGTATCATAATATTTCGAATTTTCTTTACTTTAATCTTGTTTATTTATTATAAAAAAATATGAATACCAGATTCTTTATATTTATTATAAATATCAATTTGCAATACACATGT